ATACATTTATACCACATTCTGTGTTGTGTGTTATGTGGGCTGGGGATCAATTGCTCTCGTGCTTCAGTGCTACTGCCAATCTCCTTACCCGAACCTTGTTGATCAGACGGAACCCGAGGAGACTGAGAAGAAGGTTACATGAGCCAGCACCTCACATATTGTACCTACAGTGAGGTGCTGCCTACAGACATTAAAGAAAGCCTCACATTCATAACTTCAATTCAGTCTTTTGTTTCCAGTTCGATAGACTTTTTTTTTCGCACGCTTCCATTTACATTTATTCCTTTGGCAGAACAGTTATAATCTGAGCCACAGTAGCCTTCATCACATCATGGCATGGATAAACTGTGCCCTCCAGTATGTTATTATCATCAAGAAAACAACCACCAATCATTTCATTCATAATGTTCTTTATTTCCCATTATAGGCTTAATTCTGAAAGGATACAGTAATTATTACTGGTTAGGATTTATGCCAGCTAACACCAAATATAAAAACTAAACAAAATAAACACATCAACAAAAAAAGAAAACGGTCCCCATCTGTACTAATCTTGAAATGGTAAATCTCGAATCCTGGAACATTTAGCTGATTTCTGCTTCTTGTAAAGATGTGCAGGTGCTGGTTTAAAAGAAAGAACAATCCATAACCCAGTAAGGCTAGATAGATACTTTATTGTCCTTCACAGGAAATGTGCCACCGCAGTCTGTACATAGCTTTCAGACATACATAGATACAGATACATAATCTGCCAGACATGCCAGTAAGCACTGCTCATATTAGTCATAAATTAATAGATAAACAACTTAATTTAAAGCGATCAAAGTGATCATTATAAGAAAAATAAAATATAGCCATTTTGAAAAATAATTAAGTCATCTTTGCACACAACACAAATCAAGTTTCAAGTTCTCAGTGTATCAGTACTGGTCTTTGAGTGTAAGTGGGTGAGTGTGTGTGTGTGTGTGTGTGTGTGGATGCATCGTTGTGTGGTGGATTGGTCAAGGTGACCTCGTATTTGTTTACCCAGCCGCAGCAACGTCTTGCTGAAAGCTCATCCTGCCCCTGCATGGCACTGTTTTAGTGACAGCATTAGCAGTGAGTCATTCTGATTTGAAAAGGCTCTCAAATGTCCCTGTCTATGGAAGGTGCACTGAAGCGTTATAAAGGCAGAGTTTTAGCCCCTGAACCGGATTTGTCCTCCAGCTTCAAGCTATACCTGCAAAGACTTGACTGGGGAGAGGCAGAGGGCTAGTGGAAGATGGTTAAACAGAGGAAGTGATCTGTATCTGCTGTTCTCAGGACACTGACAGACTGCGCACAAAAAAACAACATTTTCACACTTCTAGTCTGAAATGTAGCCACAGACAGGTTTGGTCTTGTTTGTCCAGGTTTGAAATCTCAAAAATTTCTGCAACCACACTTTCTACAGAAAATTTTTTTCTATATATGAAAACAAAAATGTCAGAAGGTAAAACCAAAGCTGACCACATACCATTAGGGAGTATACTTTTATTTTTAACCAGGTCTTTAAATATACCCCATGTTGCCCCTGAATCAGTAATCACATGTCTTACTGATCACAACTAGTTCACCAGAGGGCAGCATCCACCCACAGATCACAGACAGCGGTTGCATGACTGAGATTTCCTGTGTCCAGCTATCTTATACTTATACTACACAAAAGCTTCTGTGTTTCTGAAATTCTGGAATTCACCCTCTGTCTTTTGAGGTCTTTTCATTCTTTATGAGATGGACAGATTTTCTTTTCATGGTGCTGTCGCAGATAGTGTGCATTCAAACAGCAGTCACACATACACAACTTTCCCGTAAAAACATGGTGGACACACTTGTCAACAGACATTTTCATCTCACTCTCTCAGAAATAAATCCATACTCCTGAAAATAATCTGTGGCTAGAAGGTCTATAGCTCAAGATAAAGCACTCCTTGAACCTTTGCAGTTATATTAGAGTTGGTTTCTCTGTGTGTGTATGTGTGTTTCTATGTGTGTATTTGTTGTTTTTTGAAAGAGTGTAAAGGAACCAATACGCTCTGCTCCCTCATCTGTGACTACCTATCGAAACCAAACAGAGTAATTTTATACAGTGTAATGATTATTAGACAATTGACAGTGACTTCAGTTTAGAGGTAAAAGAAAGAATAAAAGAACTTTGGAACATGCAAGATGATTGGAAATGAAATTCTAAAATAAATTTCAGTGGCGTATTGTTCCTCTGTTATCTTTTCACTTTGTCTTCACACACTTCCTGGTGTGCATTTACTTTGGCAAATTCATTATTTCAGTGTGACAGCAAGTAAGATCAAAATACACAAAAATATTGTCATAGGTCCATGTGATCCAGCTCCATTCCTGTTGTTGGGGATTTCTAATGTTTGCTGCTTCGCATTGGACGAAACACACTCTGAGGAGAGACCAAGAGGAGAACCAAGAGGAAGAGATTAATTTCAGTAATGTACTCGTACATTAGGAATTTAACATTTAGCTTGTGAGACCATCAAACCCCCTCGTACATTGCTGATTTCCATTTTAAAACTTAATACCAATCACAAGGGAGCAATGGTGGGAAGTAACTTAGAACATTTACTCAAATATTGTATTGAAATTTCAATTGTACTTTGCTCAGTACATTTTAGAAATACGTTTTACTCTTCTACATCTCACAGTTATAGCGGCTAGTTACTTTCAATGTTAAACACATACACAACATATCATATAACATATAATGCTTTCCCAAAAGTATATAAAATAGTTTGCATTAAACAACATTTTAATCAGGCCGTAAGTTATTAGGATTGGTAAGCTGTGTATTTATCAGCTAATTAATAATGAATCAACACTGTATGGATTAGCCTTTTTTTTTTTTGCTGGTGTTCAAAGCATAACTTGTTTGGTCTTTTTTAGCTATAGAGCTATTTCATTTCATCAGGACATATCCTTTAATTGGCTAATTCAACCTCTTTCTGCAAAAGAGCTGCAGACCAAAATCAATTTACATTGCAGACATGGTGGCTCATTTTCTAATAAGCCATCAAGTCTGTGGTTAAAAATTAAGAAAACAGTTCTTCAACCACAATAATTCACCAAAATGAGTACATGCTTTTAAAAAGGTCTCATTTTGTAATATGCCATTAGGGTGCAGTTGTAAAAAAATTAATTCATATGTTCAATTCATTTTGGTTCAAAAGCTGTGCTGTTGTTTTCCAGAAGGAATATAATCCATTAAAGGGGACTTCCAGATGATCAAAAGAGCTACCTAAACTGGCAAAGCCATTGTCAAGCTGGAGTACAAACTTTTTACAACCTGGTAACTCAAAGGTTGTTCTTACAGGCTGATTCTTGATGTATAAAACACAATACGTTATTTATTAACTAGTGATAAAGTATATGGTTATAATTAACTACTAAAAGGTTTGTTTTTTTTACACAATGCATTCTGGTGAGTATCACTGAATGCAAACATAACTTTTGTTTGTTTACTAAAAAAATCCACATGGCACTGCAACTAAAGAAAAAATAGCTCTAAAGAAGCAGACCAGTCTTTTTGTATTTTATATATTCAGTCATAAAGTCATAAAGAGTTAATGTTGTCTCTGACCTTGAAACTCCACTGTCGTACTTTCACTTGCAACTCCTTGGTTGGAACGTAGATTGCACTTGTAGATGCTTGAGTTTCCACAGAGATTCACTTCTTGAAACTTGAGGGAGAATTGTCCATGTTTATACTCACACTGGAAGTCACATAGGATTCTTCTGTGTGAGGTAACGTTTCCTTCACTGTCCACAGAGCATAAAAGTGTATGGTTTAGGTGCCACTTCATTAATTTGATTGATAATCCATTTCGAGATGACACGTTGCAGTTTAGGGTAACTTTGCCACACCTGGTAATCTCGGAACTTACACTTAGTTCCAACTCTGCAGACAAAAAGAGATATTGTACTGAGATGATGATGAGAATAATGAAAACAGAATCTTTTTGTTGCTTCCTTTTATCTTAAAGTTAGCGTTATTATCAAGACAATCGCAATGTAAAATTTTACATTTACATTTGTTGCAGTGTTTACAACATTAATATTTCTTCCATCTGTATAGCCCCGGTAACTTTGACGATAACAAAGACTTTCCTTCAATGTATATTTAGACTGAACAAATGAGTTCAAACTACTTTAGAAGTTTCAAATAGCCTACCTTTAGTCGCAAGAGTGGGTGCAGTTAGAAGACAGAGAAGTATGTGCACTGCTGTGAGCCCCATTGTCATCTCTTTTGTATTTCACTGTAACATGGAGAATAAATCAAAACAAATCTCAAAATATACACACTACAAGTTTTTTTGTGCAACCCCAACCCCGTATTTGAAAAAACAAAAAAACATGTTTAAGTCTTATAATTGAGTGGAACTGACCTTAGGTGTCCTCCTCCTCAGCTCGTCTCTAGTCCACAAAGATTCCTGATGATTCCTTGTGGTGCTTTTATATAGTCCTTCAGACTTGTCCCTAAGTGCAAACGTTAATGATTACAGAATTATGAAAAGGAATTATGCCTTATCACTGTGGGTGTGTGCTGGAACCTTAACAGGGAAATGGAGTTGTTTTTTTTGTGTGTGTGTGTGTGTGAGAGGGTGTGTGAGAGAGATAGAAAGTGGGAAAAACAGAGAGTGAAGGGCTATTCATACAGCTGCCACAAGTACAGACTTGTATGACTGCCTTTGATATAGTAATGTTCTGTTGCCTCATTTCCTAGCATTCAACTTGGCTGATAGTGTCTGTGACTCCATGGCAAACCTATGGGGTTAACACTTTAATCTGTTATATTCCAAAGAGTCATTCTCACTCAGTGAATGATTCATGTCATTAGAAGTAGTCATGAAAGGTTGTGAATGTCAGTAATAGGCACCAAGGGTAGAAAGAAAAAACTGTCTCATGTTTGTGACCTTCACTTAGCACACTCATATATATATATATACACATAACTGTTAAAAACATAAACGAGTTATGTCATTGCTTCATTGCAAAGATCATGAGTATGCAGTTTATTTTGAAACTGTCCACATGTCTACATTTTCAATCTCTTTGAAAATTTTTGTTTTAATTGTGAAGTGATGCCAGTAGTATCCTTTAAAAATGATCTCCGGTGCAAAAAATGTGGTCACTTAGTGAGTGTGTGTGTGAGTATTAATTAGAGAGTTGCTTGTCCAGTGTGTGACAGAGACAAAGTAACTGGTTGTAATTTACTTAATTGAGCACTGGGAGATATGAAGTGACAGGGAGCAGAGAAGTGGCTGCCAAAGAGATCTCAGACACTTAAGTCATGAGAAATTTGAGCAGCCTTCAATGTTATTTATCAAGGAGTCATTCAAGGATTGATTTGTTTACCTTATGTCCTTCTTCTGTGCAAACCTCACTTTGGTTCCCATTAATCGGTTCCAGCCTCAAAATAATGAAAGAGAAACTGATGAACTGATGCTACTTTTCTTGGATTATACATGTTTATTTAGAACAACATTTCACAATCATATAACAAGGATTCACAGGCTGTAGGGACCCCTGGTGAAGGTTATTGCAAAAGCTGCTGAGTACCTACAACACATGCAAATTTGAATGCACCAAGACACAGAAATCCTGTACATTTAGCCTAATTAGAGCGCTGTGGACGTGATTACAGAACTCGAATTACCATGTATAATTATCCTTTCCTCTCTCCAAATGTAAAAAGCCACATAGCTGTTGGTGTTCACATCACTGCATGAAAACAACTACAGCATTCTGCTACTGGCTCAGCAGGGGCACTGAGCCCTACTAGGCTAACATTTCCATATCTCCAACTCAACTGTTGGCGGGCGAGTTGCATTGTGGGTAAGGGTTTTTATAAGAAAGAAGAATTCTACAAAAACTGCAAATATTTGGTTATGGTTAGGGAGTGAGTGTAATCATAGACAAACCCTAAATGCCTATATTACAATATGTCTAATTCATTCATTTTATTCAATTAAGCAGTTGACTGCTCCTGCTATTCCTTTTTTAGCAATGCTCTGTAGTCAAAAAGTAAACATAATTATAAAAAGTCCCTTTTGAACATTTGTCATGTATAATAAAATTGTTTCACTATTTCTCACTCTAACACATTTAATCCATTACATCTTCCTGTAGCTGGTGACCCAGCCCTCCATTGTATTAACATCTGTTATCAGCAGCTTCAGAATAGTGCCAACACTTGACTGATTTTGTCACCATCTATTAATTTATTGGCTAATTCATATTTCTTATTGCTGAAATCCTTCAGGTTTTATTGAAATGTTGATCTTATGATCAACATTATGATATGAGCTGTTGACGTCCCGTTGATATACTGCAATTGGTTGTGAATTAAATCAATAGGTCCACTAAGCCTGAGTATGTTTTCTGTCGAGGATCTGTAAATAAATTAATCCAAAAATATGTGTTTTGTTCAGTAATCAGTGAGGCCTGGTCACACAGAAACACTCCGCTCTGGACACGTCTATCATTTTTCCAACCTAATTCTTGTGTAATTTGTGATCTGATAAACATCAAATACATCAAATTCAGTGCTCCATATTGAAGAATGCAAACATTTCTCAGGGGACCACAAAAACTTCTCAGTCATTAACTTGGTGGTTATTGGTAACTATTACCAGCAGGTAATGGTTTTGACAAGGAAGAAGAATTCTACAAAAACTGCAAATATTTGGTTATGGTTAGGGAGTGAGTGTAGTCAGACAAACCCTAAATGCCTATATTACAATATGTCTAATTCATTCATTTTATTCAATTAAGCAGTTGACTGCTCCTGCTATTCCTCAAACCTTTCATTTTTAACAATGCTCCGTAGTCAAAAAGTAGACAAATTTTCTCACTCTGACACAACTTCCTGTAGCTGTTGACCCAGCCCTCAAGTCCTTGTATTAACATTTATAATCAGCCACATCAGAATAGTGCCAACAAATACTTCCTATTCCAGGGAACGCAAAGTGACTCAGTCATTAACTTGGTGGTTATTGGTTACTATTACACTATTACCAGCAGGTCGTTTTTGCAGTTAAACAGAGCTGCGATTAACCAGAATTATACATTACAGCCCCCATCAATATAAACTGAAATGATAATGTAAACCTGTGACTTTTGGGTCAGTGGGAATCTGCAGCGCTGAAGCAGGTTCATGTTTTGCCCAGTCTGTAATCTGTCTTTGGCTATATATAACTCTCAGGCCTTTCCTGCCCTGCATGACAGCAGCATTGCGGCTTATTACACGGCATGTCGAGTTTTATCTTGTACTTAATTGCTGTGGGGACCAGATTACCAATAATGCTTAAATTGCAATAAGTTTTTTTTCGTGGCTATAACACAATTTACAGTAGGACTACTAAACCGCTGAAGTTGTTTAGCATCTGGTAAACATAGTTCGACAGTAATTCTGCGCTCAACAGTGTTGTATTTGAGTTGCACTTTAGACCTGTTGCTATGGTGATTGGTCCGCCATTTTTTTTATTGCAGTAAGATTAAAAATTCACATCTCCTGTCTGTCAATTGGTGAAGTTAAAGGATTACATACTTTTTTTAGGGACTGAAAAATGACCAAAGCCCCACTAAAGCTCAGCCTCAACGAGATTTAAAGAATCTAAGCCGCGCTGGCACTTAACTTTGGAAGTTCAATAAGAATCTCACTTACAGTGTGTTGTATGCCGCTGCAAGTTTCCATTTTAAATACTTGCTGCATTAGTGGCAACTGAACATGCAGTGTTTTGGGTTTTCCTGAACAGGAGGTGAATCACAAAAATACACAAAGTAGAGTACATTCACAATAATCCTAAAGCATCGAGCTATCATACCATAATTGTTTTGCATGTTTGAACAGTCAGTGGCATTTTTAATTTCTCACAGACAGTTTAAACTTGGTTGGGAACCATTTTTGTTGTGTTGGCCCTGTAAAACCAGTTGAGACACACTGTGATATTGGCCGTGGCTCAAGTGTCACTTTGGTTTACTTTTTCAGGGCAAGGGCAAGAGCAAGGAATTCTAATATAATTCACTATCATGTTTGTTTATGCATTTGTCTAACAAACTAATTGTGCTATTCTAGGGTGAGAGATGGGTCAGTGCTGAGATTTAACATGTTCCTCTTTTTTAGATATTCACAGAATTCTTATTTGGGTCAGCTGTGCAGTACGCTCTGTAAAAATAGCTCTTGTTTAATGTGCAGTGTCAAAACCAGACATCGATCTAAAACTATTTTGTTTACCAACACCAGAAACTAAGATTTATGAGCCCTTTATAAAGCAATACCATCTCACTATAAACTTGGCATCTCTTTAGGAATTCCAATTCATTTGACAAGTAAATATACAGTACAGGATTCATGGAGGATCCAGACCAGATGACAGCACAATGAATCATAACCACACAAGTGATATCACTTTGAAAACAATTTTTGTACAGCACAGTTTTTTAGGGTCAGGTTAATAGCTAGTCTAATTTTTAACTTTTGTTCCTTTCTTGGTTCCTCAACCTCAAAGAACAGCTGCAGTGTGTGTGGAAATCTTGAGACAGGGCTGATTAAATACACATTCAACAAAGCATTAATTCACATTATACTATACTACTCTTACCCTTTGAGCTTGCCCTTCCTTCTTAGCATCTTTGACTGCTGATTCCAGCTGTCAGCAGCATGGTTTTAGTGCTTTGTACAGCCATTATTGGTGACAAGTGACATCTAGAAAATGGCAGGATGCAATAAAAGCAACCCTCTCTTCCTATGAGGAAGGAGTGAAGCACAGGAGAGGAGGAGCGAGGTTGTAAATTGTACCAAATTTTTGTGAGCAAAGAGGCAAAGTTGTTTGAGAAAAACATTTGCTTCTTTGTTGGAGTGGCTGCACATAGGTAGCAAATAACATGACACTGAGCCAATATTCCCAAACTGTCACAGGAGCACCTCAGTGGATGGCTGTTATGTGTTTTTTTAAGGACAAAAGTTTGAAGAGGCACAGAGCATTCACATTTCTGTCACACTGAGTTTATAGTACGCTGTGAAAAAAAATTAAATTAAATTTCCCTGCTTTCTTTATGCAAATTGTATTTTGAATTAAAAGGGTGGGGTGCCGCGTGTATTTGGGACTGTCCTTCAACACAAGTAAATTCTATTTACCTGTGTCAGGAACATGCAGGGACATAAATCATTATGTAGTCAAGCTAAATCAGGCCTTTGATTTTTACCATGAACATAACATGACCATTCAGTGTGGTGCAAAATGTATCTCAATAATGATTTTCAAATCAAGTATTAAATATTTGTACTTTGTTTCATTCTAATCGTTGTCGCTGAAGTCATGGGCCTATATTATTGAATCAGCAGTCTAATTTGGCTTCCTGTTTTTTGGTAACAATATAAATATCAGATGAATATGTAAAAGGAAGAATGGGGCATCTTTAGGGTTAGACCAGGGAAGAAAATATAGTAAAATATATATAAGTCACATGTAGTTTTAAAAAGACATTAGAGTTTGTCATATAATCTGGTCTGTGACGATACACTGATGCACAAATATGCAAGTTGTTGAGGTGACA